CGGGTCTGGATTGAACCGCGCCAGAGCTGTGCTCTGGCATAAGTCTGTCTGGCACGAATTCTCATGGGAGCCACGTCATGAGGTACGTGGTTGCACACCTATCACAAGAAGTCTTGCAACACTGACTTTCCTGAGCTCAGTGGGAAAGTCTGGATAGTCCCTCCCCGCTCCTGCCACAAGAGCAGCCCTCACATTCACAAGTTTCCAAAGCAGGTCTATTGAGTTTCTTCTCAGAGCGAGCCTTTGTCAAACACACCTGGAGGGGGGAATCTCACCTCTCCCCAGCAACTCTGATCAGTGCCTTCATTTTAATGCTCCAAACCAATCCTGAGATGCTGTGGGCTGTTTTTTGTTGAAACTCCCCCCTCCCCCCAACTGCCCCGGCATTCGCAATTGAAACTGGAATTCAAGGGCCAAATTCAAGCCCAGAGTGAGCAGTAGGACTTGGACCTCAAAACAGAGTTGTACCTGCTGACCCCCAGCCTGAATTTGGTTCATCCAGAGTCTACAAGTCAGAAAGGCATGTTTAGAAAGAGGCATGCTAAGGGCTGATGGTGGAACGACCAATTTGTCCCCACCAGTGTGACGCGGAAGGCTGGACTGAGAAGGAAGAGAAGGATTCATAGAGATGTGAACCAGAATCAGTTGTGTTGAGCCCTGGGGATATCACTACATGTTTAGCTCTTGCAAGACCATTTGCCCAGGGCTTTGGTACCACAGGGTTAGAGTTACATTAACCACAACCACCAGAGAGGAACTGAGGTTTATGACCCCCCCAAGGTTAGATTTCTGCCAAGTATAAAGGGGAGGGGAAGAATGGGGGGTCCTTGGTTCTTTTCCCTTCACTGTGTGACCGAAGGTTTTGCTTTTATTTGTAAACATCTTGAATTACCCGTCATTTTCCAGTCTTCATCGTGCTGTTGTCAGGCCACTGGAGAGCACAGCGTTTTCTGAGCTGGGCTGGGACTGCTCCTTCACCACTGGATCTGCACAAGACAGACCAGGCAGGAAGGGGAAACAACATTTAATAAAGTGGAAGCTCCACCCTGCCAAACCTTTCCGGAGAAACTGCCCTCAAAACCCACACAGCTGCTAAGGCTTTTGCAGAGTGGGGAGCCAAAATTTTCCCCCACAACCCAAGACCCCTCTCCATCCCAGCTGGCCCCAGCTTCTCCACAGACTCACAGAAATAGGGGTGCTCCATTGCCTCCTTGGCAGTCAGCCTCTGTTGATGGTCATATCGCAGGAGCTTGTCCAGGAGGTCTAGGACTTCAGGACTGACCAGGTGTCTGTTCTCACTGTGAATGAAATTCTCCCAGCGCTTCCGAGAATGCCTGCAAAGGGACGAGCTGTCACTGCCCAGCTCTGACCAGCACAGCAGTACCCAGAGGAATCACCTGCCACTATCCACTTCTGAGAAGAGATGGCTGCGACAGACACTGCCTACAGCTCTTTCTTGCACAAGCTACTGCTCAGTAAGCACTTACTGAAGGAGGAAAACCCTCTTCTTTAGGTACACAATTGTGTGGATGTCCTACTCCTGGGAAAGGCACAATATTGCACATTCCCTTCTGTCTACAGGGACTAGACAACAGCATGCAGCAGGCAGGGTGACACCCTTGGGACCAGAAGTGCTCCGGCTTGCCAGCCAGCCTCACAGAAGCTGTCCTTGCTATCCCATCTACCTCTCATCCTTTTCAGAAACCTCAACTGGGAGATTCTGAGCCCCTCAGCCCACACTTAACTCCAGTGTCTACATCTCCACTTCTAGGATGTCAATGATCAGGAGAAGGAAGAAACAGGGGACAGCTCATGGATCAGGGGAGAGGCAAACGGAAAGAGCCTGCGTTTCAGTGACCTCCTGAGATGACATGAGCAGTCAGACGGGAGGCCTGCAAGCAGCACTGTGACCCAGAAGACCAAAGCAGGCCTTTGCTGAGAGTCCTTCAAGGGGATGGACATTAGTTTATCTTCCTCTCTGCGTTACAAGGAAAAAAGGCTGCATTTCACTTCTCCACTTACTGGCCCAGGATATCATTGAAGTGCGGGTCCAGTTCTATGTGGTACTTCTTGAGATACCCATACAGCTCATCTGTGCCCAGGACCTTTGCGATGCGAACCAGCTGGAATAAAAAGCATGTTGAGAGAGAGCAGAAGGGCAGGCCACCACTCTTCTGCAGAGGCAGAGCTGCCCAAATCTAAGAGCTCTCCTTCTGGAAACATCCCAGATGGAAGGAGTATCTCCCTTCAAACTTGTTTTTATGACGTGCAGAAAACAAGTCTCCTACACGAGGCAGCGAAGCGTAATTCTAGATGGCTTAACTAAGCACATAGCAACTTCCTCCCAGCCTGGTGGTCCGATCCCCAGAACCTCCCCACTATACACACAGAGATGAGGCAGTGACAAATGTCTCATGAAATAAGCCAGGTAGCAAAGTCTTTACTTGGTCATAATTGTCCTGGCCGTGGAAGAAGGGCTCCTTTCGGAAGATCATGCTTGCCAGCATACAGCCTAAACTCCACATGTCTAAACTGTAGTCATACATCTGAGGGGAAAAGGAGAAGCTGTCAGAAAAGGCATGCTCACCATGGCCCAGTTCCCCAACCACACAGGCAACCTCAGCCTCTTCACTTCACAGCCAGCCTCTTTCCAACCCAGGCAATGCCCTGGCAGGCAAAACCAGACAACCCAAAGGTGGCCAAAGTGCAACCGCAAGTGGTATCACTGGCTAACAAGTAGAAGGCAGACTCTTACTTGGTAGTCCACAAGGAGCTCCGGTCCTTTGAAGTACCTAGAGGCCACACGGACATTATATTCCTGAGCTGGATGGTAGAATTCGGCTAGACCCCAGTCTATGAGCCGCAGCTGAACATGCGATAAAGAGACACAGAGTCAGGAGCCTCAGTATAAGCCAGTTAGGTGAAACCATGTTGGCCAAACCTCTCAATCCTGTGATGCAAGCATGAAGCCCAGGATGCAGAGAGGTGCACTGAGGACAGGAGATGCTCTCAGCAGTGCTTTGGTCAGGCTCTTCCCTTCCCCCTATCACCAGCTGGTGGGGCAAAGCTCAGCTTAGAGAGCTCCTCTGCCTCCTGAGTCCAAGTACACTGTTACTGCTGGGCAACTGGCTCCTTATCAGCACCACCAGCCACAGCAGACAGGTCACTGCGTACTAGGGAACAGGCAAAAGCCAGCTGTTTTATCCTGCTGTTTAGAGGGGCTGGGCTGAAGGCAGTGTTCATTTTAATTGGGGGCTGAGAGCAGGAAACAAGGTAGGAAGGGGTCCACCACATCCTGCAAGGTAGACCACGTACTCCTCCCCAGCAGGGATGGACAACCTGCCGTGTTACTGAAGGACGGTGGGTCTAGTAAGAGATTTCCCCCTCCTTATAAACCTTGCCTTGCCTGTACAGCCACCACTGATTGACAGGGAGAGACCTGTGGACCAGCAACTAATTTGCTGCTGCAAATCCCAGGTCCCTGGGGAAACAGGTACACACAGCACCTGATGAGGTACAAGTACCGTGATGGTGTGGGGAAGCTCCCTGTGCTGCCCATTTCCATGGTAGCGAGCTGGGTAAAAACATTTCCTGTGACCTAACTAGCATGTCCCAGAAGTGAGGAAGCCACTGCAGGACAAGCAGGCTGTACTACAGGAGGAGCTTACGTTCCCTAGGTAAAAATATCCACATATATTTCAGACAAGGCCACCCTTCTTCTGCCCAGGGCCTCTACACCCTACTACCACACCTCCCCAGGTGGAGATTAACAGCGCAGACCTGCTCCTCTCAAAGAAACCCAGCGTGGTGGCTGGGAGGAAAAGCAAACTCCAAGCCATGCACTCCCACTGCCACGCTCCCCAGTGGGACTTTGGCCATCTCCTGATGCAGGCACAAGTGGAGGGAAGCTGGTAAAGAAAGGTTAAAGGGGTAAATACAGCTGCCCAGGCTACGGGCACAGAGGCGGCAGAGGAAATGTCAAGTTTCCCTGGAAAAACCCTGCTCGTAAGCCCTGGTGCCACAGTACCTTTTTCTGTTGGTGGTCTATCATGACGTTGTGGGGTTTGACGTCCCTGTGCATGATCCCCATGCTGTGACAGTAATCCAGGGCCTGGCAGACACAGGCACATATATTAGATATGTCTGTAACCACAGGCACAGCATTAACAATATAACAGTTCTTGGCCAGGAGCAAGAGTGCCCTGTCCAAAGGAAGTGCTGCAACCCTGGCACAAGAAACTGGCATTTTCAGCTCTTATGCTGCCCATGATGAAGTGACAAGCTGGCAATAAGACTGTATTGATCTCTTGTCCTGCTGCAGTCACAGGTCCTGGAACCATATTCCCTGCATGGTCTTTGAAGAACACAGTGCAAGAGAGGTGTCCCACCTGGTGACAAGCCCAATGCTCCAACCTGGGTAGCCCTGTGCGTCCTAGGTCACACTGTCTTCCCCAGAAGGGGATGATTCTTACATGCATACAGTGTTATGGCCTTCCAGTACAGCTTTCCACCTGTGCCCAAAACACACTTAAGCTAGAAAGTCACCTCTGCCCTGCTCATTTAAGCCAAACCTGCACTTAAAAAAAGGCAGATGATAGCACATGAGGAAGGGTGATGCCGCTTAAAGCTCGAAGGCAGGAGCACACATAAGGTCTCCAGCTCTGTGACCTTGCAGGACTTCCCCCCACAACCGTTCCCTTGAGCAAGGGGGTGAGAATGTTGTTTTCTCATCTCCAAGGTGGAGGGAGATCCATCCATCAACATCTATCAGATGCTCCAAGATCTCCAGCAGCACAGAAGGAGGGTACCGCCTGCAATCATTCAACATCCAAGACACCAGTGCCAGGGAAGTAACACTGTCCTTCAGCCCCTGCCACAGTGGGAAGCATAGGAGGCAACAGCTTCCATCACAGCAAGGCCTCGGGGAATATCCCTGCAATGGCATGTGGCCTCACAGCCAAGAGGAGTCACAGCAAACGGTGGTCCTGGGATCTCCATTACAGGAGATCTACAACAGGTTGGGCAAACTGCTTCCAGGGATGAAGCTGTTCTAGTGCCTTGCTTGTCCCAAGGCTGGATCATCTAAACCTCATCACCCCTCCCACCCTAATCCTGGGCTGCCTCAGGCTCCCTCCAACCTTCAGTAGGAAGGTCTTTCCCTTGTAGACAGGTGCAGCAAGCTTGGGGATGCAGAGAAGAAAGCCTCCCTCAAGCTCACTAGATCTATTTCAGGAAGTCTCCTGCAGTTCCCAAGTCCTGGAGCACAAAGGGCTTTCCCTAGTCTGTCCTGCTCATTTCCAGAAGCAGGGGATTTGCAAAGTGCCAGCCCAGAAGTCCCGAGGCCCTGCTAGGACCTGACACAGCCAAGCTGCTGCTCCAGCAGGTCAGCACAGAACAGCCCTGGGATCAGCCAAAACCTGTAAGCTCTCCCTAACGCCCTGACTCCCATGTTCTGCAGCCAGAGACCCCAGAGAGGTAGTGCAGCAGACCTCAGAGATCTGCCATATGGCTCTGTGAGCATTTCCATTGGGAGGTGCAAGCTAGGCTAGTTCAGAGGAGGTATTTAGGGCACTCCTTGCCCTTTGTCAGAGGGGCAGGGAAAGCTTTGGCTGGGAGGTCTCAAAGGAAAATACCAGTGTTGTATTAACATGTAACAGCCAGCATAACCAGAAGCTTTGTTCCCCAAGACCACATCCATGGGGTTCTGTGACCAGAGGGCACCAAGCTGGCCAGCTTGTTCTTGAAATGTCCTAGATCCCCCACCAGAGACAGAGGGGTCTAAGACCAAGTAGGCAGAAGTCACCTTCTGGGATTGCATCTGAATACTGCAGCAGAAGATAGCCTGGAGCTGGTAATCCCTCTCTTCCACTCTCCCTAGTGTGCTAAAGAGTCCCCAGTTCCCCAGCCCGGCAAATGCCTCTTGGTGCTTGTACTGGGTCTAGCTGGGAGGGAGCTGATTTTCCTCACAGCAGCCCAACAGTGCTAGAGACACAGGGAGACCAAGCACAGCCCTACCTGGCCACTAACAATCACAAATGCTTCACGGGGAAAGAACAGACCCCAGAGAATCAGAGACGCTTTGGAGGTGACCAAAGGTCCCCAGTTTGGCTGTAATACCTCACAGCAACAAGCCAGGTAACCAGATCTCTTCCCAAACCTTCCCAGGTTATGAGACATGGATTGTGCATTGAACATGAGAGAAGTAACCACTTAGTAGTGCTGCCCTGTGAGCCCTACTACTGCCTCTCTCATTCCTGGTCTCCCCATCCAGACTGCCATATGCAATGCCACTCACCTTCAGCAGCTCATACATATAAAACCGAATATCAAAGTCTGTCAGGATCTGGTACAGTTGCTGAAACAGATTGGGGGGTGAAAAAAGTTGGGGGGGGGGGGGGGAAGAGAGAAACAAAAATAAATACTCCAGATTTGGATTAGTCTTGTTTCCTGCACCCCACCTGCCTCCAATCACTGACCCCATTCCAGGTCCCCTGTGAATGCTGTCACTCCCAAGGACTGTCCTGGTCTCAGACCTGCCAGGGCTACAAGCTAGGAAATCCAGAAAGGAGGCAAGTGCTTCTGTGAAATGCTACTGGGATCATTCAGACCTGCCACGACTTCTTTCCAGCAGGAGACAGGCAGGCTGTCTGTCCAAGGAGAAGACAGCAAGTGCCCTTCAGAGCATGCTGGAGTTGGCACAGATGATCTTGACTCTGTTCACATGCGAAGTCATCACAGTGACTTGACAACATGGAAAACAGCATTCAGAGCAGGCAGGCTGGGAACACATGGGCAAAGCCTCCAAGTGCTCAAGGTGGGGCAGGGAGAGGAAAACATTAACCTAAAGAAGCATGGGGTGGGGAAACACAAAGGGTAGAGACAGCCTCAGAGCCGCAGAAGCTCTCCTTGATCCCATGATAAAGGCTAATGCAGCTCAAAAGTACAGAAATGCTTGTGGGGCCAAAGACAGCACAGCTCAGAGTCTCAGGGAAGTGCTTGTTGCCAGCACACATTCGCCACCCTCCTGCCCTCTGTGTCCTTCTGTGGCTACTCATGCAGAAGTGACAAAGATCCAGGGTGCACTTTTACCTGCACCATGCCACCAGCACCATCACTGGAGAATTCATCATCCTGCTGCTCCCACACCAGGTCACAACCGGCCCCAAATTTACCTTCTGCTCTGTATCTGTCATTGGCAGTGGTGGCAGGCTGACCCCATTGGGCTGTGCTCTCGTCCATGGAAAGCAAGGCAAGATGCCAGGGCAGGGCAAGGAAGGACATTCACAGGGCAGCAGCAGGACCAGACCTCCTCTGCCCTTTCTACCAAACAAGGATCATCTCACAGCTCCATCAAATCAGTGATTGCATCAGCACTGGAACCAGCTGCCCATCACAGGCACCACTTGGCAGCTTCCGGAAAAATCCCAGAGTGAGGGATTGAAATTCACGTTCCAAGAAAGCAGCTCTGGCCCCGGATCCCCTCCAGGCCCATGCTGAGATCCTCAGGATCCTGCCTCAGTTAGGGCCAGCTCCAAACAGTCCCACCACCCTCCCACCACCCCAGTACTGCTCTTGGAAATCATCTGACAACATACAAGTGTCACTTACACAGAGCTTTAACAGCCTCCAGGACACAAGTTGCATTGTATTCTCATGAGCTGGGATGATCTTAATGCTTCGGAGCAACCCACTGAAGCAGACAAGTGAGCAGGGATCAAAAAAGACATAGCCACAAGCTACAGCAGGGATAGATTTCCTGACTCAGTTGTGCGTGGCTCTGTGCATGACCCAGGGCCAGCAGAGGACAGCTGAGCCCTTTCAGGAGTTTGTTTAAATGGCTTGCTTAGGTAACAAACACTACGGGGGGCCAGAGATGCTTAAAACACATCTTTCTGGGAATCACCACCCTGTTCAACTTTGCCTGGCAATATCAGTGCACCTGGGGAAGGAGGAGGGCAGGAGAGGCAGTGGCAGAACAAGACTAGACCCCATTTTCCCCATTCCCTGGCTCCTCTGCCTCTCACTGCCTGTAAGCAGGGAGGGGATGGAAGGGAGGTCACCAATGCCTTTCTTCTCAGGCCATGATGCTGTTGCTTCTCTGACTCATAGCCTTCAGCAGAGGCAGTCGTTGGGCAACCAGCTTTCAACAGACTTCCCTAGAAGAGCTGTCTGTGAAAGCCAGCAGCTATGACCCTCTTGCTGTGCTAAGGCCAACAGTGTGGCTCGCAGAGTCCAATCTCCACTTGCTGCGGAGAACAGTCCCTGCAGGAGCGTGCTCAGTCCCACTGCAGGCAGCCAGTGAACGCAGAAGGCTTTGAAGGATAGAGCCAAGGTTTCCACTGCAAGTGGGTCCCACACAGCAGCTGCCCCAAGAAGGCTTTGACAGTGGGCTCCAAATTCCATTTGCCCAGCCTAGCAGGAGAGAGCAGACACCTTATTTGCAGACTTGTCCCATGCTCTGCTCTTACAGCTGCCTCTTTGGAGTAAAACTATCAGAAACATCACTGTGGTGATCACTCAAACCCAGCTCAAACATCTGCTCAGCTAGTTGCCAGCACTCAGGATTGCACAAGGTGTCAGAGACCTGGGCTGGTCTCCTTTCTCTATACAGAGCAAGAGGAAAGGCCAAACTCACCCACCGGCAGCCTCCACCTCTCTCCAGCTTTTGGTGATATTTTGGCACACACCAGGTAACCAATTGTAAACTAATCCCATTAGTGCCCAAGGAGGCACAGACATGCTTCCCCTCTCCACGGGGCTGACAGGAATTAAACACTTACTCTTGTCCCTTGAGTGAGCAACACAGCTGGCTATGTGCTGGAAGCAGCATCTGCAAAGCAACAGGGTGGCTGCAAGGAGCTGACAGGAGAGAGACACTGGTTTGGGGTGCAGGACAGGCAACAGCAAAAGAAAAGGAAACAGCTGCCAAAGCATCCTGGCCTTGGCAGCCATGCAAGGGAGGAGAATCTTTCATACTTCTGCATAGCCTATGCAGGGCAACAACTATTTTTTAAACTCATGTTGGATGTACAAGGATAAAACACAGGCACACACTTCCCTCACAGCAACTTGGCCTGAAAATTCACCAAGGTGCATGCAAAGTGGAAGATCTGACTCAAAAGCCCTCTGTCCCCACAACTCCAACATCCTGAAGCAACCTTTCATTGCTCACCTTTCTTGCCTATCTCCTCCTCTTCAGCTGCAAACCTGCTAGTGCGTTTTAATAATGAAATAGCAAACCCAACCCATCACTGCTCCTGGAGACCTGGCTCTGCCCCCTTCTTTCCCAAGGGACTTGCCTCTTTGGGACGATGAAAGGCACAGTACCAGGTATGCTTGCAGACTACACAAAGTATGTGACAGCTAACAGTGGTTGAAGGACAGGCATCTCATTTCTAGTTTGAAACCAATTCGCAAAAGACATTAATTTCACTGACAGTTACTCAATTGACTGCATGGCTCTGCAGCACAGGTATCATTTAAGGCAGATGACTGTGGGTAGCTTGAGTGCTCACAGATGGCAAGTAATACAGCAGGTCTGAAGAGAAACACTAGCCCCACACACAAGCTGCCATCCTCACACAGCAGAATATTCATTTAGTCTAGTTCCAACTCATGATCCCTGTGAGTACAGAGCTGTCAAATTCAGAAGGGACCCAGCTGGGTAATTTAAGAAAATGTAATCAGCTCTAGGGAGGTATCACCTAAGTCTCCTGTTTATACCGTCATTTAAAAATAGCCAAACTGTGTGGAATACAAGCTTGTGCTTCTGATCTGAAATCATCCACAGCCATGGCTTAGGCCCCACAGAACTGCAGCTTCTGCCTATGCATAGAAAGCTGAGGAAACCCAGCAGCCATTTTCATGGGTGCATGGACATGAATTGTGTCCTGCCATTTGAATGGGCAAAGGGGTGAAAGTATTACCATTAAGCAAAAAATAATAATGTTGAAGGAAAGAAACTGCCAGAAAGGAGACAACCGAGGACACATCCAAACTTGTGAGCAACTACTGCCAACAGGATGGAGAAAAATGCAATCCTGTAAAGTGGTCAGCAACCACCTGCTGTACACAAGCTGCCCTGGGAACCCTCATGCACCCTGAAGGTGATTTGCCAGTGAGATGCATGGTACTCATCAGTACTGCTGAATCCAGAAGTCAATGCAGAGATGGGCAGATCATCAGCCACCTCAGAACAAAGAAAAGAGGTCCCTGTCACCAGGATTAGCTCATGTGGCACTTAACTCCTACAGAATTTGGCTGCCTGGGGAGATCAGAACTGTGGAGGAGAGGGGACAATGACTGGGTGCGCTCCAGCTGCTTCATGTATAGAGGTATAGGGCAAGCCAAGACCTCCAACACAAGTGGTCTCATCTATTCTGTGTGCTTTCTGCTTGGCAAAGGCACTTCAGAGCAAGGGAAGAGACAGCTTGGGAGCCTCTGTATAGAAGAAGATATCCACAGGTAGCAGTGAGTAGCAGCAGCTCTGTAATCTGCCAGTTAGCTGTGGCCCCAAGAACCTACCCAAATAAGCAGCAGAGCTCATGGGAGCGTAGCTCAAATAACCCACACGCCCCATACATAGCTAGTGAAATTCAGGTTACAAATAAGCTCTGAACATGAACAGCCATACTGGATGCCCTGGGGTACATGCTTGCATTCCCAAGACAAGTTATTCCTACCTTGTACCAATCAGCACTGAAAGCATCAATACTTTCTGTCTTGGACTTGTACAGCTGTGAATCTGGACTTCCTCAAGGAGCCAAGCTTTCTCCTAGGAGCCTAGAAATTATCTGCTGCAAACTCATATAGTTGTTTCTAATGCAACAGCCAGAGCTGAGCACTATTACTTCTGCTGTGGCCAGACCAATGTTGCCTTACTGGCTGCAACAGTGCCTGCGACAGCTCTCAGCATGGCTGGGACAGCTGACCTACCACGTACTCCAAGCCCTGCATTTTTCAGTTAAGATTCCCTATTGGCTGCCAGCCTCAAGTTGCTACTTAATGCTCTACTTCGTGAACATATTTCAGTTACTGGGCAGTATCTTTGATAATTTTTTCCTCTAAGGGGCACATTCCTAACATACATGTGACACTGGAACAGCCAGCTGATGTCAATGAAGCCCAGACAAACCAAGCCTGCTTTAATTAGCCCTGAAAGGTCACCACATAGCACTCCTCTCATGGCTGTTTACTTGATGGAGGCAACACTCATCTCCCTGCCCAGAGCTGTCAGGGCAGA